AGGATTAATACCAGCATATATAAAGAACTCAGAAAACAAATAATCAAGAAAACAAATGACTCAGTTTAAAAAAATTGGCCTATGGATCTGAACAAAGAAGTCTCAAACGAAGAAATAGCCAGGTGTGGCACATGCTTTTAATCCCAGCATTTAAAGGAGGCAAAGTCAGGTGGATCTCTGTGAGAGCGAGGCTATCCTGATTTTAATCCCAGCACTTAAGGGAGGCAGAATCAGGTGGATCTCTGTAAAAGCGAGACAAGCCTGGTCTACATAGCAAGTTCCAGACAGGGCTGTAGGGAGACCCTGTCCAAAAAAGGAAGGGAGAGAGCGAGTGAGCAAGAGAGTGCTAGCTAAAAAATATCTTTAAAAGTATTCAGTCTCCTTAGCAATTAGGGAAATGCACAATAAAACTAAGATTTCATCTTAACCCAGTCTGAATGGCTAAGATCAAGAAAAGAATTGAACACTTACATTGTTAGAACCCAAATAGAAAAGTATATTACCCCTGGTGAATTGTGGATGACTATGGTGGGGCTTTTACTCTAGTTACCAGAGGTGGTGGTATCTTTCAAGCTATCAAAGGTTTTTGAAATTCTCCAGTAGGAGTAAACCACAGACTACAAAGGAGTTTGACAGCTATTAAAACCAGGGCTCCAGTTAGGAGGTAGCTTTGTAGTTTGGAGAAGACTGTTTTCTATGGTTGTCACTAGGATGGTTCAAGTAAGAGGAAAAGAAGATCCCTCTAACTCCATCACTAGTGGAGTCTTAACAGGAATCATCTTGGCAGCAAGAAATAGACCCATGGCTGCAATGGGTTGCATTATCCTAGCTTTAATTGAAGGAGCCTGGTATCTTGTTGACAAAATTTGCCTCTTTGAGGTTTTGCAATGTCCCTCAGTTTACTGAAGACCACACTCCCAGTTACCTTCAAGCCAGTTACCATCCTTGCCTTTTGGAGATTACTGACAGTATCAGTAGGACTTCTTTCCCAGGGTTTCTCTAACTGAATGGACTGCAGTTCAAGAACAGTTTCAGAAGATCATGTTATAGTCAGCTTCAAACCAGAGGTGGGACAACTATGCCCACATATGCTGTGAAGAGACATTTAGCACTTTTTTCTAAGGGACATGGAGGGAGAAAAGATACTGTATTCACATTTGATTGCATTTGCGATCAAAATAAATGACTGAAAAAAAAGAGAAAGAAACTATAACTGACAAAAAATGCTGGCCAGGAAAGGAAGGGGAACTCTTCATTCACTGCGGGGAAGGAAGGCGAACTCTCATTCACTGCTGGTGGGATTGCAAACTGATGCAGCCATTATGAAAGTAAGTGTGGAGAATTCTCAAACCAGCTAAAAGTAGATTACTGTAGGACCCAAGACTCCTTGACACATACCCAAAGGACTCTATGTCCTACTACAGAGATAATTGCTCAACTGTGTTCATTGCCACTCTTCAGCTGATGAAGGGATAATGAAAATGTGGTTTATATACACAATGGAATTCTGTTAAGCTGTAAAGAAAAACAAAATCATGAAATTTGCAGGTAAATGAATGGAACTGGAAAACATTATACTGAGGGCCATAACCCAGACCCAGAAAGACAAATGCCACATGATCTTTCTTATTTGTGGAGCCTAGCTCCAAATCTTTAGATGTAAGTATATAACCTGAAATAGCCAGGCGTGGTGGTGCATGCCTTTAATCCTGGCACTCGGGAGGCAGAAACAGATGGATCTCTTGTGAGTTTGAGGCTAGTTGGGTCTACATAGCAAGTTCCAGGCCAGCCGGGGCTACAGGGAGACCCTGTCTCAAAAAAAAAGACAAAAAAGAAAAGTAAGTATATAACCTGAAATAATCACAGAAGCCTAGAAAGTAGAAAGGGACCTTGTGGGAAGGAAAAGAGAAGGAGCTTCAGACAAGAGAATACTAAGATACAGGCACTATCAAGGGGGAAGTAGGGAAAGCAGGCCGGGGGATGGTGGGACTTTAGGGAAGAGGGAGAGAAGAGGATACACATGGAGAGGGAGGGAGGAGAAATTAATAACAAGAATGTCTGAAAAAGCCACGGGGAAATGTATTTTTTATGAGCTTACTTAAAAATATATAATTGTGTGTGTGTGTGTGTGTGTGTGTGTGTGTGTGTGTGTGTGTGTGTAGCTATCTAACAAACCACCCAGTGCCAGGCATAACAAACTTTCCTTCAAGTTGTTGACTAGGGTATTCCAAGAGACTCCACCTAAACAATAGAGGCTATTGCTATTGCCCTTGGTTGCCTCCAAGAACTTGAAGGTAAGGTGCTGTTGCTACAAACACCAGATAGAGAACTTGGATGAATTGAACTGGAACCGACCTGGAAGCCTCCTCCCTGAGGTCTAGTTCTCATAGTATCCAAACCTGCTATGCAAGCTTCCAAGGGAGAAAAACAACCAATAGTCCTACCCATCTGTAAAGCCTATGAATCACAACAATGACCGTCCCTGCAAAATATCTTCAGTGGTACAATAGGGCACTTTTATTAGCTTGGGAGTAATCAGCTGTCTAATTGGACTTAAGACCTGCTCAATTAAAGGGAATTCATGCCTGATACTGTACATCTAGCCAGCTATCAGTGGCTGTAGATGTCATAAACCCTAGAGGAAAATCTACTATTGCCACTTTCTTAACCCAATATAATTCCTAAATCCTCATCCTTATACCCACAGATAAATATAGCTCTGGCCATTCATCAAAGAAGTTCTTTTTGCAACAGATGGAGACTATTACAGAGATCTGCAACTGATCAAAGTGCAGCGAATAAGTGACCTTGGGGTACCTAGCTCTAACTGATATATCCACAATGTAACCCCTACACCTATGGATCAGGGAATGTCGTGGAAGGGGGTGGGGGGGGAGACTGTAAGAAGCAGGGGACCAGGATGCCCACTGCTAGATACTACCTTCTAGACATGACAGGGAAGCCACACCGTTAGCTGACATGGCAACAACGTGGATGGGGAAAATTTCACAGACACCTCTAGATGAAGAGCTACAGGCAGTTAATAGCTGCTGAGAGAGGGAGAGTGTTCTCCAGGGACAAGCTCCCTGATAAGTTATCCAATCCCAAGTTGTCGGCACTAAACACATGTATATACAAGCATCACTAAATGGACTCTGTAGATTGTGCGTGTGTGTGTGTGTGTGTGTGTGTGTGTGTGTGTGTGTAATAGAATGTCTGAAAAAAACTGCAGGGAAATGTGTTATTTTATAAACTTACTTAAAAATACATATAGTGTGGGCATGCATGTATGGGTGTTTGTTGGGGGAGGGGGGGTGTATGTGTGTAGCTATCTAACAAAAAACCCCAGTGCCAGGCATAAGAAACTATCCTTCCAAGTTGTTGACCAGGGTATAAAACAGATTTCACACATACAAAAAGATTTGACTGGATGTAGTGGTGCATGCCTTTAGTCCCTGTACTCAGGAGGTAGAGGCAGGCGGATCTCTGAGTTCAAGACCAGCCTGGTAATAATGAGTTCCAGGCCAGGTGGGGCTACAGGGAGATGCTGTCTCAAAAACAAAAACAAACAAATGATTTTCTGTCTCCTCCTCTCCCTTCCTTCCTTCCATTTCACAGTGCTGGCAGGTTAGCACCCTACAGCTGAGCTACATTCTTAGCTTCCCTCCCCTTTGTGATGTGTTGGGGAAGACTGAACTCAGGTTTTGTGTGTGCTAGTGATGCTTTTGACTTTATAAGATAGTTTTCCAGAGGTGGTTACTGCAGGACAAAATACACACACACACACATACACACACAGAGTAATATATATTTTATAATCCAGTAGCTATTGCCATATTAACTTTCCAAAAATACCCATTTGTATTTCTTCCAGTAGTGTACTTGAGGACCCATGTTGCTTTACTCTGTGTTTTTTGATATTAGTCAATGTGAGCAACTGTTTCCTAACTTGCGCACCATTTATATTTCGCCTGTAAATTGATCTTCAGGGGTTTTTTGCCTTTTTTATTTTTTAGCAGTGCATTTTGAACCAAAGCCGTAACATACATGTTAAGCAAGTACTCTACCACTGAACTCTATCCCCTCTTTGTACTTTTTGCTGCCCCTCCTGTCAGGCTCTGGAGTAGCTGGGATTATAGGCCTATCTATGCTACTACACCTGCCTCTTTGCCCATTTTTCTCCTGGGTTGCGTTCTTGCTGATTTATGAAGGCTCTTTTTGTATTAGCTGTATTTGTTATGTGGTATGTATACTGCAGATCTTATCTTCCTAGCCCTTTTGCCTTTGATTTTTGTTTATAATGCCTTTTGTGTGTGTATGAAAGAGATACAGGGTCTCCTTGTGTCAGTAGTTGGCCTGGAACTTGCTGTGTAGACCAGGCTGAACTTAATTTCAGAGTTCCACCTGCCTCGGCCTCCTGAGTGCTAGGATTAAAGGCATGTGCCACAGTGTCCAGCTTGTTTATAAAGTCTTTTGCCATAAACTTTCAAAATGTTTTTGTGCTACTCTTCTGATACATCCCTCCAAACCCCACCCCTCTTTTTTGTAGGGACTTCACATGTAGCCTAGGCTGGCCTTGAATTCTTCCTCAAGGATGATCTTGAGCTCCTGATCTTCCTGTCTCCATCTCCCAAGTGTTAGGATTACAGGCATGCACCATCATTACTGGTTTTGCTTTTTGTTTTTTTGTTTTATGTGGTGCTGTGATCAAATTAGTGCTTCACGCATGCTTAGGCAAGCACTGTACTGACTGACCTACATCCCCAGTGAATAAGCCAAAATCTCATGGTTAAAGTTCTACTCTCCTAGCCAGCTCCCCTTTCCCCTACCTGGGCAACATCAGCTCCAGGCCCCTTCTATCCACTGAGAGTTCATACGCCAAAAGTCAGAAAGTATGCCTCAGAACATACTGTATTGATCTTTTATCAGTTAGGCAATTCTGAAATGAGAAGCATTTTTCTAGACATGTTAAAAATTTACTCCTCTTTGCACTCCCTCAGCATCTGCACTTAGATACCTTCATGAAAACAGAATCATCCATCGAGATCTGAAGCCAGAAAACATTGTTCTGCAGCAAGGAGAGCAAAGAGTAAGTGACCTTCCTGGGACTCAGGGAGTCTTAGTCCACTCCAGGAGAGCTGCTCTAGCAGAGAAGGACTGTGCTTTATAGGTTTGCTTAGATTTGCATTTCCTTGAGTCATGCTATAGTTCTCTAGGAACGTTTTGCAGGGAGTGGGCTTGTTCTTAACAAACTGCAAACTATTCTTGCTGACAGGTTGGGGAAAATTTGAATGGATGGATCATATTAACTGCCCAAGTTGCAGGAATCTGATAAGGAAGGTGTTTGTTTTTCTGCCTCCACCCTCAGCCAAACACTTGTTGAACTTTTTGTTTTCCATTTGTTTTGTGAGCCTCAACTTTTGATGCTGAAATGGAAATGAGCTGAAGTTAGTTGTGTCTGTGACTGAGAAGAGGCACTTGGAGCTGGCATATGTCCACCTTGGACCCAGGCAGCTGCCATGACACAAGAGCTCTTTGTGACCCTTCTCAGTGACCACCTTGCTTAAATGAAATAACTTCCCCGTGGGCCTAGGTGCTGTGGTCTTTGCCACCTTTGTTCAACTGGGAATGAGAAGCAACTCCCCGGTCACTGTCTCTCCTGACATAGCTTCCCTCATAATTCTCAGCCCAATCCATGACTTTGACAGGGTCACCTTTGTTGTAGGCATACTCATTCATCCTTGCCAGTAGTTCTGCGTATTTCCTGAACAGAGTCTAGCCTGGTCTTTTATATTGCAACTCAGGTTTAATGATCTTGAGGACTGGTATGTGGCCTCTTACTGATGCCAGACCAAGGAAGAATATCCACCCAGCATTTTTACAGTGCCCTAAATCCACCCTGCCAAGGACAGTCTCCTGTGAATACGGTAGCTCTAAGGAATCGAGGATCCCACACTCTGAGAATTTAGAAATATCTTTGCTCTATTGGCAAATGACCTGACTCCTTATAAAAGAACATTGTATTTTTACAACATTCAGATTTCTTTTCCTTTTTTTTTTCAGTTAATACACAAAATTATTGATCTAGGATATGCCAAGGAACTGGATCAGGGAAGTCTGTGCACATCCTTTGTGGGGACCCTGCAATACCTGGTAAGAAATGGGGCTCACATGTTTGCTTCTCAGTCTCTCTGATGTTCATGTTTGAGGGTCTCTCTGTTCTTACTGCCTGCATCTCAAGTCTGGCCAGCCCCATGGATGTTTCTTAGAATTGTGCTCAGAATGATAATTTGGTCATGTGAGTGTTTTGTGCTCTCTAAAAGGATTTAGTCACTGCTCTGAAGTGAGAAGGTCTGTGCCTGGGTGTGCTTATGCAGACCCTGTAATCTTTCTGTGCTTCAGTGTTCGATCTGACCTGTGGAGGCCAGTTTGTAGGACTTTCAAGAGCCAGTATGGAGGAGGTGGGGCTCTGATTACCCTTCTTCTGGGTCTGAATACTGAGGTACTATTTGAGCAACTCATTCAAGAATATCGAGCCATTGTAGCCTATGCTCCAGGCAGTGCTCATAGCTGTCAATACAACAGGAAAGGAGATAAACATTTCCCTGCTCCTCAAGAACTTAGTGTTCCAAAAGAAAGCAGACATTTAACCATGCTATACAGATAACTCAGAAACTACCAGTCATCAGTGTCACAGATAAAAGCACAGGCTATTCCAGGGATGTGTTAGGAGGACCTAGCCAGGTCTAACCCGGAAGTCCTAATAGTTGGAGCCCTGAGGTGGGAAAAGGCAGTGGGAGAGGAGAGGAGACACTGGCAAAGACAGCGTATTGCAAAGCCCAGCAATGCGGCTAGGACCTAAAACGGAATGAAGACGGGGTCTGGGATTGAAAGGGAGGAGAAAGAAGAGCACCGAAGGGCTTTGCACTGCAGAAGCAGGCCTTGATGGTGTGCAGAGTGAACTACACCAAACAAGAGTGACAACTTGTAAGGAGGCTGTTGGAATAGACCTACTCAGCCGAATGAGGGCAATGGGAAATTAGAGATGATAAAATTCAAGAAAGGCTTACCGGGCTGGGGCTGGGGCATAGTGGTACACACCTGTAATCTCAGCATTTGCCTGTTAATTTAAGTACTTGAAAGGTGGAGACAAGCATGAATTTGGGGCCAGCCTGGACTACATAGTGAGACCCAGTCTCAAAAAAAGGACGGGAGGAGTAAGGAAGGACTTAGCAGAGCCACTAGGAAAACTAAGTAATAGGTTACTTATTGGTGATAGTGACCGTCAAATTGTGGTTGAATAATGGAATCTGCAGTTTAAAAAACAAAAATATTGAAGGTCTTTAGGTTAAAAAGCTTAAGTATCCTGTCTAAGAAAGGAATTTTTTCTTGTTTTTTTTGTTGTTGCATGCAGTTATGTTTCTTGCTCATCCTACCAAGTGAGTAATGGGATCCCTCAGTCTCTCTTCTACTGTATGGAATGTAGGTTTCCCAGTGGTGACTGTGGGAACATGATTAGGACACTATACACATATTATGTTGTAATTATATACATCCTACTAAGTACCTTCTGGGAGTCCTCAGGAGCTCAGCAACAGTTGAATGAGGTAATCACATACTCTGACCACAGTGCTAAGTCAAACCATTCACTTGCATGAATTAAAACATCCGTCTATAGTGAGACCCAGAGACCGAGTTAATGATGCCCAAATTTCTCCTGGGTTGGACTTGCAGGCCCTTTCATATATGTCACATGTCCACCTAGACCATGTATAGTCCTGTCACTGATCCTTTGCTGGTGGTAATTCTGGAATGTCTCATTCTACCTGCTCCTGCAAGAAGCCTTCTGAGCCCAGTTGAGGTCCCACCTGAGTCACTCTAGCCCTCTTAACTTTGGTAGCAGTCTTGCATCTGGCTTTTTCTTGCCTGAGTATAAATATCCTGTCCCATTGTATGGCTAATATATGTCTTGATTAAGGTTAGTTGGTTTAGTGTATGTGCTGTGCATTCAGCCTACACAGGCTGGTGTCATTTCCTTTGTTGGGCATGGCCTGTCTCTCCATCTCTGCAGAGCACCCATGGACTGGGGCCGTATGTAGGATTCAGTAAGTTTCTGAAATCTGCAACCTTTATCTTTTAAGGGGGGGGATTAAAGAACAGTGATTGATTTACTCTGGTCTACCTAGAAGTGACCTCTCAGGGCCCTGACTCCCTAGCCCTCTGTCAACACTGAGTGTGAGGTACAGAAAATCTTCAGTGCCCCCAGCTGAACCTGCTGAAGTACTCACCTCCTCATCCTTGAGTAGATACATTTGTGCCCTGATGATGAAGGCAGGAGGATGAGGGTGATTATATCCAAGAGGAGAGAGGGCAGCTTAGGTGACCCACCTGTGTGTTTCAGGCCCCAGAGCTGCTGGAGCAACAAAAATACACTGTGACTGTTGACTACTGGAGCTTTGGCACCTTAGCCTTTGAATGCATCACTGGCTTCCGACCATTCCTCCCTAACTGGCAGCCTGTGCAATGGTGAGTGGGCCTGGTACTGGTGGGAGGACTGCCTTGAGGGAGAAGTAAGCCCCTGGCTCCATTCATATCTTGTCACCCAACCCTTTTGCTGAGTTCCCCAAGTCAGGCCCAAAAGGTCTGTGGTCTGTTTACCTTTAATACCTAGCTGTGGGCAGTTCAAGCTTCTCAATTTTGAATAGGAGAACAGTTAGAAGTGACATCTATAAATATAACGCTGTATGACTGCCGCTAGTCTGTGGTCAGTAGTAGCAAGTAGTACATCACAGACCACTGTGAAACTGTGTTTTCACTGAAAATGTTAGCAGATTACTAGTGAAGAAAAGGGTGTGTGCACTGATGGATACTTGCATACGAAGTAAAATCTGTCAATAGTAAGTTTAGACGTGGAATGTTTTTTGGTAAAGTAGTTTCTGGAGTAGTTGTAAATTTACGTATTTTAAACTTATAAAGTATGAAAAAGATAATGTAAAAGGACATCATCTCATGAAAGTCTCCTTACCACCTTTGGGTCTCCCTCCCCAAAGATACATGATGCTGCTGGTTTTCGTGTGCTTTAGAGATGTTTATACCCCACCCCACCAGATTGTGCTCGCTTGTTCTTGTGTCTCCCCACCCCTTTATACGCTAGTGATACTGTAATTGAGCACTGTCCTGTGTGTGTCTTGAAAATATTTTATACCAAAATTTCCTTCAGAGTAGTTTATTTACAACACCAATAAATCATTGTCTGGAACTTGAATGTGCTATGTAATTTACCCCCACAGATTAATTTTGAGCTTTTGGAAGATATAGAAATAATTTAAAAATATTCATTTCACTTTGATAGCACATATTCTAAAATTAGGGGAAAAAATCTAAAAAACCCAAGAATCCACTATAACCAGACATCTGGAAACAATTACTATGGACATTTCTGTGTATCCTCAGGCTCTTAGATGTGTATATGCTTTATACTTCTTAAGAAACAAGATTAGCTAATTATACATTCTCTGATATAGCCTGCTTTCACATTATTCTGAGCATGCTGTGTAGTATGTCTTCCCATTATTTGGAAGGCCTCTTTAGTACTCTATTTAATTGCTGTACTGTAGTCCATTTCATTCATAGCCTGTTGTTGGAAGATTGAGTAGTTTATAAGTTTTGCTTCTTGAAATAACAGCATATGCCTGGTATGGTGGTGCGCACCTTTAATACCAGCATTTGGGAGGCAGAGGCAGGCAGACCTTTGTGAGTTCCAGGCCAGGCAGGGCTATAAAAAAAAAGTATGTATGAACAACACTAAATGGACTCATATACTCATGTATATATGTAAGAATAATAATTAAAGAAGAGGTCAAGAATTTGAGCTTTGGGGGGCCTGGGAGTTAGATGAGGAGAGGAAGGGTAGAAATGATGTGAATACAGTAGTGCAATACTTGTGTGAAATTCAGATGAAAAAAAATACAGGGCTGAAGAGATGACTCAGCAGTTAAAGAGCATTGGCTGTTCTTGTAGAAGACCCAGATCTCAGCACCCACAGGGCAGTTAACAGCTGTCTGTAACTCCAGTTCTGGGGGATCTGACTCCTCCTCCTGTCCTTCTCGGGTACTGCATGACATAAGTGCACTTATACATGCAGGCATAACACTCATGGACATAAAAATAAATTTTAAAAATTTAAAAAGTAACACCACAAATAATTCATATAGGTAAATCCTTGTGCATCCAGTTATTTCTCTAGGATAAATTCCTAGGAATGGAATTAATAGATTAAAGAGTATGCACATAATAAAAGCTCTGATGTATTTTATGCCACCTGCCAGAAAGACTGTATAAATCTAAACTCTTGGAGCACACTAGTATGGCTCTTTCCCCACGCCATTCTTTGTGTCCTAAGTACCTTTTGGGGATTCTAAAAGCATTAACTTTTCAAAGGACAAGTATTTATGTCTTGAAAAACTCTGTAGCAGAGGATAACTTAGAACCATTCTTTTTTGTGTGTGTGTTTAATGTAGGATTTCTGTTTGCTTATTTTTTTTTAGAATATTTTTTAATTAAATTTTTAAAAAAAATTTAATAACCACATGATTAGAAGCATTTCATTGCAGCTTTAACATATTCAAAAAGTAAAACATTCCAGAGCAAGGATACATCTCTTTCAAAAGCGGATGTAAATTTCTAGGTTCACAGCTGAATTAATAGTTATACAATACTGAAATCATAAAATTTTATGTAAGACATAAAATTGAGTGAGTTTTGAACCTTTAAAGAAGATCTCCATTTCATTTTAAAATAGTTTCCTACATTTTTAATGCTACTAACACTTAGATGTTTGTACATGTGTCTTTAAACTTTATGTATCTGATTATAACACCTTTAAAGAAGATCTCCATTTCATTTTAAAATATGTTGTTTCCTACATTTTTAATGCTACTAACACTTAGATTTTTGCACATGTGTCATTGATCTCTGTGTATCTGATTATTACTAGTCACAGTCTGATTTTGGATATAAAGTCATCAGGTAGATTTCACTGGTAATATTTATCACCTCTACTGTTTAACATGAAGTACATTTTTATGCTTTCTATTTTTATGCTTCCTCCTCAAACATGTTTTTTTTAATTTGTTGATTTTTTTGTGCATATATCATACAGAACATCAAACACAATCTTTCATCTATATACCCACTTCCCAAATGGAACCATCCCATAGGCTCCCCACTCCCACACACTGGAGTCCATATACTCTGTCATCCCTTTTACTGTCCACTGTGTTGTCGGTACCCTCCAACATTCCCCAGGGCTTGTCCATCTGCTGAATCAAGACAGCCTCTCTAGAGAGCCTTGTTTTAGGAAGATCAGCTGTTCCTCATCTAGCAGCAATCAGTTGTCAATATTCCTTTAGATAAGATTGGAGTCTGATGTTCATTGTGTTGTCGGTACCCCCAGCCATTCCCCAGTGCTTGTCCATCTGCTGAATCTAGTCAGCCTATCTAGAGGTCTGTGTTTTATGAGGATCAGCTGTTCCTCATCTAGCAGCAATCAGTTGTCAATATTCCTTTAAACAAGATTGGAGTCTGCTGTTCAATTTCCCAGTTCTATGCTGGGTTACTGTCTGGGAGTCTTTTGGGCCACCCTGGCCAATAACTCAAAGGAGGGTATCTCCTGTCTGGGATTGTTTCTTGTTGTGTAGCCTTTGGACTCTTAAAGAATTTTATTGATTCCGTTAAACTGGTTATACTTTTCCTTGTGGGTGTTTAAGAGTGTGCAGATAGCCCACATAAACCAATTTATTTTTACTCTTAAGGTCATTTGAGGATCTGTTCCTCAAGGGTAACGTGGGCTTGGGAGGATGTAAAAGACATCTAAAATGGCAAATTTTGCAGGCATAACAAAGTACGTCAGAAGAGTGAAGTGGACATTGTTGTTAGTGAAGACTTGAATGGAGCAGTAAAGTTTTCAAGTTCTTTACCCTACCCCAATAATCTTAACAGGTAAGGCCACAAGGGTATTATAATGTCTTATACATACTTTTCTTCCTTTTTTAGAAATTCAGGTGTAGGTAACATTCGGTAACTTTTGAATAGCTGCCAGAATATTGTCCTGTGACTAATAACATGACCGATCTATCTCAGTATTAAATGTAGAATAGATTCCCATCTCCCTAGAGTCATCTCTTGTTTGTTTGGTTAGTTAGTTTTTGCTGTGCTGGAGATGTAACCCAGGTGTTTGTTCATGCTAGGCAAGTGTTCTAGTGAGCTACATCCCCAGCCCCCAAATTCACATAACAATTCATTTGTGTGTCTTGTTATCCTTAATAGCCTTGTTCTAGTTTGCTTTCTGTTGCTTTGATAAATACCATGACCAGAAGAGACTTGGGGAGGAAAGGGTTTATTTCATTTTACAGGTTACAGTCCATCAAGGAGGAAAGCTAAGGCAGGAGCTCAAGGCAGGGATCTGGGACAGAAACTGAAGGAGCGGCCATAGAGGAATACTGCTTACTGGCTTGCTCAGTTAGCTTTCTTATGCAATCCAGGCCTACGTGCCTAAGGATGGCACCACCCACAGTGGGCTGGGCCCTCCTACATCAATTAACAAGTAAGGAAACACCCCACAGACAAGCCCACAGGCCAATCTGAAAGTTCTCTTTTTCCAGGTGACTCTAGGTTTGTGTCAAGTTGACAGGTCTATACTTTGAATTACATTTATTTCTATATAGGGTTTGTCTCTTACTCAGGAAGTCATTTAAGGGTAGGGATTATACCTTACTCCTTTTTGTGCCCCTTGTCTGTCGGTCCCAGGCAAATCTTTGAGGTTTGAATGACATTATAGTCTAGACTTAGAGCCAGAATATAAACTGTTAATTAATGAATCAGAATTGGATCATAATACAAAAGAAAGCTCCAAGGCAGTCTCATGTAAGTTAGCTTCACGGGTGATGACTGTTGTAGGTATTCAAAGACAGAGTTAACAGCCCTGTGAATTACAGATGTGTGGGATGGCTTTGAATGTGCTAGGTATGTATGTGGCAGGGGTAGGGGTCAGTAGATGTGCAAAAGATGGACAGGTAAAGAAGGCAGAAGTTCAATGGATTAGGGTGAGCAGAAGCACATAGGGCTGACCTGAGAGATCTGAGAGGGTATAAGAGGTAGTCTGAGGTCCAGGAAGAAGAGTTGGAACATTGCCTTGTGCATGTCTCAGATGTTCTCAAGGGGCAGGATTAAAAAATTAGCAGCACAGGCTCTAGATCAAGGTTACTTAAAACTTCCACTTGTGATTCCTTTGTGTCCAAGAAACAATTATATTACCCTTGGTATATAAATACATGAACTAGCCGAGCATAGTTGTGTATGTCTTTATTCCAGCACTCAGGAGGCAGAACAGGCAGCTCCCTGTCGCAAAAAATCAGTAAATAAATAAATAAGTGAAGTAGGTATACAAATGAAGTATCTTCTGACAGTAAATCATAAAGAAATTTATTTTAAAAATTACTTGGTATGGTATACATACAGCTTTACATTTATTGGAGACAATGGCAGTTTGCATACTGATGAGATTAATGTGATAGATGTACTTGTTTATTTTTACAAAAAGAGTTCAAATCTTGAGCCAGGCACAGTGGTGCACACCTTTAATCCCAGAACTCAGGAGGCAGAGGCAGGCAGATCTCTGTGAGTTCAAGGCCAGCCTGGTCTACATAGTGAGTTCCAGGATAACTGGGGCTACAGAGAGACCCTGTCTCAAAAAGACCAAAAAAAAAAATTTTAAATCTTGGCGTGTGTGTGGTGTGTGTATTAGTTTATTAGTCTGTTTGCTTGTTTTTTTGAAACAGGGTTTCCTATATCCCAAATTTGTTAGGTAGCTAAGAATGACTCAGAATCTTCCTGCCTCCACTGGATTTTATGGCTGCATTAACCCCAGGACTTTGTGCTAGGCAGGCACTCCAGCAACTGAACCACATCCCCAGTCTTTGGTTGAATATTGATACTACAGGGTATAAAGAATCTTTAATGTTTTCAGAGTTTATTGATCTTTTGGTTTTATAACCATCAATGTTGAAAGTGCCACTTCACATAAATAAATAATACAAAATGGCAGAAATGTCCAACCATTTCATAAATTGTTGGAAATTCTGTATTAATCTTAAGACAAAATTCATTTACTGTTTCTATGAAACTCATTAGCAACTGAAACAATTTTAAAAATCAAAAATTCTAATACAATCCAAAGAAACTTTAACTTGGTGTGTATATTTAAAAATATGGCAGCAGGGAAATAATGAAAGTCTTTGCTTTCTCAGGAAATTGTTTCTATGAAAGCAGAAAACTTCATATGTGCAGTAAAAATAGTGCAGTTCCTAACAGAATAGTCTGAGTCTGAGCCAAGGTGTTTCAGGCAGCTTTTGTTGCTTGCATAACACAAAGTATGAATGTTGTGCTTTCATAGCCAAGAGCACAGTGCAGCATGGGTGAGTGCTTCCAGGAACACCAGTACATTGGAAATGTTCATGCTTCTTGGAGTCATCATGTGTTTGATTTTCAATTAGTTTTTGGTTTTCTTTCTTTTTTTGTTGTTGTTTTGGTTTTTTTTTTGAGATAAGGTCTTACTATGTAACTCTGGCTGGCCTGGAACTCGCTACGTAGACCAGGCTGACCTTGAACCCAGAGATCCCCCTGCCCCTGCCCCTCCCTCTGCCAGGATTAAAGGCGTGTGTATCATATCTGGCCTTAATTTTTAGTTGATTTTTTGATCATTGTAGCCTTTTACTGTTGCCAGATTTTTCATGACTCCCACAATCTTTTAAGAAGCTGGGTGTGGTAGGGAGGGTCCTAGATTAAATGAGAATCACCTGAAGGCAGGGCTAGCCTATAAAGTGATGTGTGTGTACATACACACATGCAGATATAGTGCTGAGCACAGACAGTAGAGCCAGGTAAGCACTCTACCACTGAACTTCAACATAGCTCTAGAATCCATTTTCAAAGCTTCACAAGTCACCCAAACCCTTGCAAATCAAAAAGGAGAGGAGACGTTCCTAAATATTTAAGTTGGTTGGAAATGTTTGTGCCTCTTCCTCTGATCACTCATTTTCAATAATCATTTGGTTGCTACCATGTATGTGATGTTGACACATACTCAAGATGATGCTTTTGTTTTGTTTTTTTTGTTTTCTTTTTGGCTTTTTGAGACAGGGTCTCACTATGTAGCCCTGACTGGCCTGGAACTCACTATGTAGACCAGGCTGGCCTGGAACTCACAGAGATGTGCCTGCCTCTGCCTCCCAAGTGCTGGGCTTAAAGGTGTGTGCCACCATGCCCAGCAAGACTATGATATTTCCAATGTGTCTATTTATGGTCATATGTGTACAGGTACATATATGTGGGTGAGTGCTTGTGGAGGCCAGAGGACAAACTTGGATTTCAGTTCGCAGGCCCTGTCCACCTTCCTTTTTTGAGACAATGTCTCTCACTGGTCTGAAACTCACCATTTAGGTTAGATTGGCTGGCCAGCAAGCCCCAGAATCCACCTTGTCTCTGCTATCCTAGGGCTGGGATTACAAGTATGTGCCAGCACACCTGGTAGGCTCTGGGATCAAAGCACTGAACCAACTGAGCTACCAGTCAAAGCTGCAGTTTTGACTTTGTACACCAAGGCCACCTGGCTCAAGCATCTCCTGCCTGTACTTTCCTCAGGGTCTTGGCTGAGCGTCTGGAAAAGTGGCTGCAGTTGATGCTCATGTGGCACCCCCGCCAAAGGGGCACAGACCCCCAGTACGGTCCCAATGGCTGCTTTAGGGCCCTGGATGACATCTTAAACTTGAAGGTGAGTGCGGAGCCAATGCGGCCCCGAGGCAGCAGCTGTGGCCCCAGTGGGACCTAGCACCTCTTGTGAGGAAGAAACACACACGGATATAGCAGGTCATGGGCCACTTGGCCCTGTGAGGAAATTCAGACTCCTGTTGGACTATCAGCTGAAGTGCGAGGACAAGAAATGAGCTGAGTAACATGTTGCCAGCTTGTTGCTGAGGAAAAGCGCAGATGCGAATATTAAAGTTTAGAACGCATGAAGCATGGCACCCATCTTTCTTAAGCTAGTCTTTCACTGGAAAGTATTGGGAGTAGTGGAGGGTTTTAGCAAATACATGGACCTTTCTGTAAACAAATCTTTTCTGGAATGGTTCTTGATGTCAAGCCTAATGACTTTAGTTTAATCTCTAGAACCCATATGGTAGAAGGCGAGAACTAACTCCCAGAAGTTGGTTCTTCTGACCTCCACAGACATGCTGTGGCATGCACATGCCATCCCTCCCCGACACCCTTCCCACACAGAACACACTAGATGAGTAGGTAGATGATAGATAGATGATAGAAAGATGATTAATAGATGACAGATGATGATAGATAGATAGATAGATAGATAGATAATCTGATAGATAGATGATTGATAGATAGGTTAAGAAGAAAAGAATGTGGCGCTTTTTTCCCAGTAACGTCTGGGTTGTGTTGCAGCTGGTTCATATCTTGAACATGGTCACAGGCACCATTCATACATACTCTGTGACTGAGGATGAGAGTCTGCAGAGCTTAAAAGCCAAAATCCAGGAAGACACGGGAATCCTGGAGAAGGACCAGGAACTGCTACAAGAAGCAGGTCTGGCACTGCTACCGGACAAGCCTGCTGCTCAGTGTATTTCAGATGTCAAGGTGAGTGCTTGGCTTCTTGTGCACGTCCCTATTTTACCCTGACTTGGTCTCCTAAGAAACTAACTGCACTCCACATTGCCTCTGTACTATGACAAACAGTTAATGGCATAGTGCATAGACTTGCATGTTTTTGTAAGCTGGGGTCAGGAGCCCTGTGTGGCTTACTAAAAGATACATATCATTCCACATTCAGTTTGTCACATCCAGACCACTTAATGTGGCTTTCTTGTGCCTCTGATGCCAAAATTATGTTCTACCCTTCTGGTCACCCAAAACTATTTGTGGTTATCTGTAGTTACATAGCCATGCAGGGACTTGTGCTGACTGCAGCAGTGCACAACATGGTCCCTGCCCCTAAAGTGGTAACGGAGTAACCGATGGAGATCACACTAACATTTGAGAAACAGTCTTTGCACAGAGAAGTGGGACGTGTACAGGGAACTTTTGCATAGGAGAGGCAATCAGAATAAATGTGTAAGGTTCAGATTGAAAGAGTAGGAAGGAGAGCAGGCTGAGCCTGTGCTCAGTGCCCCGGGGCTACAGTGGCATCCTAGGTGCACAGTGGGAAGGTCTCTAAGCCTGCATAGCTGAAAGGAGGGGTTGGATCCATGCAGCTCATTGTGTTCTTGTCCCTTTCAGATAAATGAGGGCCGCACATTGGACATGGATCTTGTTTTTCTCTTTGACAACAGTAAAATCACCTATGAGACTCAGATCACCCCACGACCACAACCTGAAAGTGTCAGCTGTATCCGTAAGAATATCGTTTATTAAAATTGATCAATTGTAATACCTAAGGCAAAGTCTGAGGGAGAGACCTGAAGGAAATTTGCTTATCTGGCTCTGGGGCAGCCTTCTTTACTTAGGACATGCAGGGAGTAGCCCAGGCAAGGAGAATACTGGCTAACTCTGCCTCATACTAAGAAGAGTATTAGACAGAGGACAGGGAATACTGCCTAGTTCTGTAACTCATTTTTACATTTTTTATTTTAATATATGTTGAGCGGTAGTCACAGGAGGATCAGGAGTTAAGGTCATCCTCAGCTATATAACAAGTGGTCTGGGCTACATGAGACCATGTTTCCTGTTTCAAAAAAAGAAACAGACAAAAAAAATGATGTATGTATGTGATACTAAAAATGAAAAAAAAAAATACAAACCCTCAAAAGATACCAAAAAATGGATGTATAGTGACAAGAAACCATTTTCTTTCTAGTTTCCCAGCCAGTGAGAGTCCCCCTGCAGGAAAACTGATATTATCAAATTTTTCAGTAAAAGATAATATAAATATATACTGTTTTGTATCTCCCTTTTCTCTCAATTTGTTGTTTGGTGGTGGTTGGATTTTTCTCATATTAGGACATACAAAGCTGCCATGTTTTTGCTTTTTGTTTTTTAAAGCAAGGCTAAGGTGGGCCTCCAAATGCCTTCAAGACCCCAGAGCTTCCTGGCAGTGAGAACTTTTTATTACTGTTTTGTTTTGTTTTTGAGACAGGGTCTCCCTGTAGCCCCACGTGGCCTGGAACTTGCTATGTAGACCAGGCTGGACTTGATTTCACAGAGACCTACCTGCCTCTGCCTCCCAGGTGCTGGGATTAAAGGAGTGTGCTACCACTCCCAATCAGAACTTATTTTTAAAATTTTATTTATTTTTAATATTTCATTTAATTTTTAAATTCATTATTTTTTTTTGTCTTATGTGTGAGTGTATTGCCTGCATGTGTGTAAGTGCACCTGTGTCATGCAGTACTCATGGAGGTCAAAGGTGGGTGTCAGATCCCCTGGAACTGGAGTTATGGACAGTTATTAGCCACCATGTAGGTGCTGGGAACTGAACCTGGGTCCTCTGCAAAAGCAGCCAGTGCTCTCAACTGCTGAGCAATCTCTCCAGCCTCAAAGCTGCCTTGTTTTAATGGCTGTATGGTATTCCATTGGATGAATGTTTGATGCACATTTTTAAAATTTTATTATTTTTATTTTATGTGTATGAGTGTTATGCCTGCATGTAAGTAAGTGCACCCATGTCTTGCAATGCCTGCAGAGGACAGAAGAGGCTGTCAGATCCTCTGAAAAGGGAGTTACAGACAGTTGTTAGCTGTCATGTGGGTACTGGGATACAAACCCAGGTCTTCTGCGAGAACGGTCAGTACAATTAACCACTGAGCCATCTCTCCAGCCCTGGTGTACATTTTTTATTTTATTTTATTTATTATGTGTATATGCCTGAGTACATGTTTGTGTATCGTGTGTATTGGTGCCCAAGTGGTTGTGAGCTGCCCAGTGTGAGTTCTGGGAACCAAACCTGGATCCTCGGAAGAGCAAGTGCTTTTAACTACTAAGCCATCTTTCCAGACCTGTTTATTTTAATAACATTTTTTATTATATTTTTATTTATTTATTGGAAGGGGACATATTCTTGTCAGGTCAGGAGACAACCTGTGGGAGTCAGTTATGTCCTTCCACCATGTAACTTCCAGAGATTGAACCCAAGTTGTCAGGCTTGGTAGCAAGTGCCTTTACTCACTGAGCCATCTCACCCACCCTTGATGGACATTTTAATGTGTCTCCTGTTCCTGTTTCCTGCAGCTCACCCCACATGCGTAAACTTAAATAGATCAAAGCTTTAATGTCTCAAACTCTCCAGACTGTTTGGTTATTTCAATATCTCCAACACTGCTGGCTAGTGCTGCATTTTTTATTAATTAATTTATGATTATGTGGTGGTCAGAGGACAACTTTGTGGAATCAGTTCTCTCATACCTTTACATGGGTCCCAAGGATCCAACTCAGGTCACCAGACTTATATGGCAAGAGTCTTTACCCACTGTCCTGTCTTGCCAGCTGCATTTTTGTAAGTTTTATAAAAATTTCATACACCCAGGGCTGGAGAGATGGCTCAGCGGTTAAGAGCACTAACTGCTCTCACAGAGGACCTGGGTTCGATTCCCAGCACTCACATGGTGGCTGCAAACTGTCCTTAACTGCAGTTCCAGGGGAATCCGAAGCCCTCTTCTGACCTCCGAGGCATTGCACGACACAGGTGCACTCACATACATACAGACAATACACTCATACACATAAAAAATTTTTTTAAAAATTCATACACCCTTAAATGTGAACATAAGAGTTTCTATTGAAAATATATGGGCTGATATGCTTAATGATTATTTCTCCAAATGGTTTATAAAATATTTTTCTTTCTCTCACTTTTTTTATTTTTTGTTTTTGAGGCAGGGTTTCACTGCCAGCACAGGCTGGTCTTGAACTCAGTGTGTAACCCAGGCTACTCTCAAACTCCCAGCAATCTTCCTGCACTCATGTGGAGGAACTATGAGTGTTCATCATCATTCTTGAATCATAAAATATTCCTTCAAATTAATTCAGTAGCCATTTATTGACCATCTGATGGGCTGGTTCACCTGCACATCTGTTAATGGAACAACCAAAATGTTTTAAGCTAGTAATGAAGCATAATACCTACAAAGTTACATAACTTATAAAAATACCCTTGATGCTGTAAGGCAGGATGTGGTTCCTGTTAGAAGAGTTACTCTCTGACAATTATCTGTTTCCAGTTCAGGAGCCCAAGCGGAACCTCTCTTTCTTCCAGCTGAGGAAAGTGTGGGGCCAGGTCTGGCACAGCATCCAAACCCTGAAGGAAGACTGCAACCGACTACAGCAGGGACAGCGAGCTGCCATGTACTGTGCCAGGCTTTTTACTTAATGTATTTAAAATTGCTTGTTGGCTTTGACTCTAGGGACGTGGCCTCGGCAGGGCCCCAGAAACAACTATTAGGAGAGATGGGTAGCAAGTAGCTGGGTGGGCTGGAGGCTCTTTGACCTGCAGAACCCAGTAGGCAGATGAAGCAGGAACTCTGAACTAGGCCTGGGCTGGCTCACCTGCACAGAATTTGGAACTTAAAGAAGCTCAGTGCAGTTTGGGTTAGTAATACTCCTTGGATGAGTGTGCAGGGCACTTGCTGGTGCTTTCCCCAGTTAGGACAAATGTACTGGCCCTATATGTTGTGCTTATTTCCAGTTTTGGCATAGAACCTTATGCATAGCTTCAAGCTGGGAAGTTGTCCTTACAGTTCTAGGTGGCTACTTTGGTGATTGTGGTGACAGTGATTATAGCAGGGCCTCCCTTGGCAGAGGGTTTTGTTACTGTACAGGAAGTAGTATTTAAATCCCACAGGTGTTCCACAGTTCTGTTTCTTACCGTCACTGCAGGATGAATCTCCTTCGGAATAACAGCTGCCTCTCCAAGATGAAGAACTCCATGGCCTCCATGGCCCAGCAACTCAAGGCCAAGTTGGATTTCTTTAAGAGCAGCATCCAGATTGACCTGGAGAAGTACAGTGAGCAGACTGAGTTTGGGATCAGTGAGTTGCTCTGCCATGAGCATGACCATGCTATTCCTGCTGCCTTTGCCTTTCTTTGCTTTTTTCTGAGCTCTCTTTTGTCCTCTTATAATTCAGTTCTTATTTCTGTTTTGGTTTTAGAGTGCTTTTGTTTTTCATTTTTTTTCTTCCCAATTTTTTTTTCCAGCATCAGATAAACTGCTGCTGGCCTGGAGGGAAATGGAACAGGCTGTGGAGCTGTGTGGGCGGGTAGGACACTCATTCTAGGGTTCTGTACTTGTGGTGTGGGTGAAGCTTTGTTTTACCATATCCCACTCTTTTATCCAATACTGGGTTGATCTGCTATGTCAAAATTTAAGTTTTCCTTCCCACATCCTTTGACCTTAACCAGACTTGCTAGAAGGAAACAGAGTAGTGGATACAGGGAGCCCTGCTGTGGCCAGAATTAAGAACTATACAGCTCAACAAACGGTCCAGATTTAAAAAAGGAGTACAATGTCAGATGCCCCTGAAAAAAACAAAACCACATTGGATAAATGATCAGCACTCTCTTCACTAAAATTTTGGCCTAATGTTGTTGAAACATTGTATCTATAAGAAAGAATCTAAGCAGAAAGTCTCAGGACACTGTAAACAGATGCCATTGAAAACACCTCTTCAAGTTGAGGGAAATAAGCCTAACTCTGTATATCATGCACAGATCCAAGACCCTGCAAGGCTTACCCCCACCCCCACCCCACCCCACCCCATGCAGTGGATAGGAGACCTTTGGCCCAGTGACTTAGTGTCTGTCTTTATAAATGAGACCTAATGGGTCAATGGAATGCCTTAGTAGGTAAAACTGCTTGTTGTGCAAGCCTGATGTCTTGAGTTCGATATCCAGAACTCATTTTTTAAAAAGCTAGACATAGACCAGGTGTGATGGTATGCCTTTAATCCCAGCACTCAGGAGCCTGAAGCAAGCAGATCTCTGTGAGTTTGAGGCCAGTCCAGTCTACCTAATGAGTTCCAGGCCAGCTGGGGCAACACAGTGAGATCATGTCTCTCCAAACCACACAAACAAGCAAATAAAAAGCCAGACACAGTAGCGCACATCTGTAATCTCAGTGCTTCTTCAGCAAGATGGAAAGCAGAAACCAGAGAATTACCTGAAGTTCACAGGCCAACTAGCCTGGGGTACACGCAACAAGAAAGACCCTGCCTCAGAAACCAGGTAGAATGAGAAAATGAACTCCTAAAAGTTGTCTCTGACCTCCACACACACATGTGGCACACACACATACATGCACCTGCACTCACATATCATACATGCACATACATACATGCACATACACACGCTCCTCTGCTCTTACACATCATACATTCACATACACACATGCACTCAACACATTATATGTGCACATACCCCACATGATGGCCCCTTGCCTGACCTCAGAGCAGTGTGTGTCTTCCTTTCTGACTTGGCACACAGTGACTTTTGAGTAGGTACAGTAAGAAGACAAAGTTACACGCACTAGACATCTCTGTTGCTACATGCTGTACATTATCTATTTATCCCTCTATTCAAGTCCTACTAGAGGTTTATTTTATGGCCGAGGAAACTGGTTTATGGTTAAGGAACTACTACAATAGGTGGCAGACTAAGAAGTGGTAGACATGAAATCCAAGCTCAAACCATTCTGACTTCTGAGTCCACAGTCCTACTAGCTTGTCAGTTGGGAATCTCCTGTGAGTGTGGAGAGTACTCCACTGCCTGCCCCAGCAAATTCTGCGCCTCAGAACACTCCTTTTACATCAGTTGACATTAGCACAGCTTTTCCATCAGGAGAACGACGTGAAGCATCTGGTGGAGAGGATGATGGCTCTGCAGACTGACATCGTCGACTTACAGAGGAGTCCAATGGGACGGAAGCAGGGGGGCACTCTGGACGACCTGTGAGTACCACCCGGGAGGGGCTATACTCTGCTCCTAGCACACACCAGCAACCCCTCTGACGTGTCTAGGTGTGTGTTAGGATTCCCTCAGGAGGTTCTGTGTGCCTGTGGGGCATATCTCCTGGTAAATCATCTTGGAACATTCCTAGGATAAGCTGGAACAAGTGACCATGAGTCTGAGCCTTAGTGTCCAGATCTCTCAAGGGGCAAGGAAAAGTGATCTTACAAATGTACGGGCCACTCAAACATGTGCTTCAAAAGCAGCTTGTAATCTTTTTTTTTTTTCATAATCTTTAAAGGCTGTGAAACAGCAGTAGTCTTTCTTATGGTTGCAGATATCCCTGCTCATCCAGCCTACCCTTTTCCAGGTGTGGCTGGCAGAGCAAGAAGTGGGGCAGAAAGGGAAGCCTGGCGGGTCTAGGAATTTGGCATTGTCTCCAGAAAGGGTCAAAGGCATTTACTCAGACCCATCCTACTTGGAGGACCTAGCATGTGTGTAGCTCTCATGTGCTGACAAGAGGGTTCAAGGCAGATGGATCCATTTACTAAGGGCTATGTCATTTGCAGTTATCAGTGTCCCCTGATACTCTTACTAGGACTTTTAGGTTGAGAAATTTGGAAATAAAGATTTGTTGTATCTTGTTCCTTACCCCTTATTCTCTTCAGGTTTTCAAATGAGAAGTGTGTGTGTGTGTGTGTGTGTGTGTGTGTGTGTGTGTGTTTGTGTGTGTTGTTTTGCTTTGTTACAAACTGGTGTCCTGGTATTGCTAGGTAACCAAGACTTGCCTCAAACTCACAGAAATCCTACAATCGCAGCCTCCTGAGTGCTGGAATTGCAGGTGTGTCCACCAAGGGCAGTTACAGAGTCTTCTTTTGAGGTTGTTGCCAGCCCCATCTCTATTAGAGGAAGGGATAGGAGTTTGTCTAGCCTTGGACTCAAGTTTTTGAGGGTATTTTATTGGTCAGGTCCAGGAATGGCACTTTGAATCGTTCGTGTAGAAGCCAAGCAGAGGAGGAATCCATGGAGAGGGTTCTCTTTCCTCAAGATTGTGCATGTTGGGGTATTTGAGTTATTATAATAATTATTTGCTTACTATAAATATCACCAAAAACAACAGTTTTTCCCCCCCATTGAGAACATATGACCAGTTATGTCTAAAAAAATCTGTGATTCTGTTGGCAAGAATTAGCAGACTAACACTTCAGTTGTCCCTGTGAGGCTTTGGCTCTAAATAGCTTTTTCTATTCCAGAGAAGAACAAGCAAGGGAACTTTACAGGAGACTAAGGGAAAAGCCAAGAGGTAGGAGTTCTGGCTGCTTTGGCCCCTTCTTTGTCTTGTTTTTGAGTCATTGGTATACCCTGGTGGCCACTGGAGGACACTATGCCACCTTCATCCTCAGACCAAAGGACAGATGGTGACAGTCAGGAAATGGTGCGGCTGCTCCTTCAGGCAATCCAAGGCTTTGAGAAGAAAGTGCGAGTGATTTATACACAGCTCAGGTAGGAGTCTGTGTTGTCATCCTCCCTCCCCATCCTGTTCCAGAATAGGATATGGAGTCACAGCAAGACCAAGGAAAGGCTCATGTCCTTGCTGTGCTCTGGTTTTCTCACAATGCACTCTTGTTGATAGTCCATAATAGCCAGGGATAATGTTGTGCCAGCCCAAAGCTCACTAGAGTGTGGTACATTTGTTCTTTACAGTAAAACCATGGTTTGTAAGCAGAAGGCACTGGAATTGCTGCCCAAGGTAGAAGAGGTGGTGAGTCTAATGAATGAAGATGAAAAGACTGTCGTCCGGCTTCAGGAGAAGCGGCAGAAGGAGCTCTGGAACCTCCTGAAGATCGCTTGTGTAAATGAGCCTTTCCTCCAGCTTCTCAGGCCTCTCCGCCCCTGTGTGCTATCACTGTTCTACAGAGGGGTAGGGGCCCCTCAGGTGTGGCTGCTCCACTAGCACTTCTTTATGACAGGAAATGGGCAAAGAGGCGTCCTGGTCTTCCTTGTGTGAGGCTTTTTTATTTGTCCATGTGACTATTGTAATCACCACAAATATTGTAGCTCCAAACAGCAGACATTGTTCTCTTCAGAGGCCAGAAATTTAAAAACCTAGGTGTCAGCAGAATGGTCCCCCTCTGATGGCTCCAGGCCAGAGCTCTTCCTGCTTCTTCCAGCTTTAGTGACTCAAGATCTGTGTCTAAGTTCAGGTGACATAAATGTCTCTCATCTGATTTTCTCTTATAAGAACATGTGTCAAGGCTAGGGACAAAGCTCAGTGATAGGATGCTTGCCTTCTACATAAGGCCCTGTATTCAGTACCTAGCAATACACAGACAGACAGACAGACAGACAGACAGACAGACACAGAGACAAAGAGAAAGCTGGACAGGAGCTTTAATCCCAGTACTTAGAAAGCTAAGGCAGGAGGATCATGAGTTCATAACAGCCTAAGCTATGTAATGAAACCTGTCTCAAAAAACAAGAGAAAATCAGAGAGAGAGAACAGATATGGCTGGATTGGATCACTGGGATCATCTAATATCAGGGTCCCTAACTTAATTACGTGTGGAGGCCTCTTTTTCCAAATAGAGCCAATTTGTAGGTTCCAGGAGTTAGAATATCCCTTATCCAACCTAGTTATATCAACGAGCCTGATTGACCCTTACTCAGGTCTGTGCTGCTCTCAGCATTGTAGCCCAAACCTCCTATACACACTTAAAAAAAATTTTTTTTTGGTTGGTGTGTATTCATTATATATAATACTGGGTTTCTTACAGGTATTGGCATACATACAAATATATAATGTACTTTAACCAAAAATATTCCTTCCCTCCATAATCTTTTTTCTCCCCACCCATTAGTCCTCTCATTCCATTAGATCATTTCACCTCTGCTTTCATGTCACAAATAGAAACATCATTTTGTGTGTCTAAAATCTAGGATCCACAAATGAGAGAAAGTACCTGATATTTATAATTCGGTCAGTGTGGTTATCTCTAGCTTTTCTCATTTGCCCCAAAGATGATTTCATCTTTATAACTGAAATATTCCCATGGTGTTCTACATACACATTTCCTTTACCCATTCTCTGCTGTTGGACACCTAGGGCATTTCTATAATAGTGCTATAATAAACATTGGTAAGCAACTATTTCTTCGTATGTTCACTCAGAGTCCTTCAGGTAACTACCAAGGAATGGAATGGATGGATCATGTGGTAGTTCTGTTTAATTTTTTGAGGAATCTCCATACTGATTTCCATAGTGGTCATACGCTTTACATTTTCACCAGCAGTGTATAAAGGCTCCCTTGTGTATACATCCTTGCCAGCATTTGCTATTATTTGTTTTCTTAATGATTCTGACTTAGGTAAACTGCAATGTCAGTGTAGTTTAAATGTGTATTTTTCTGGTAGCTGGTGATGTTGAACCTTTTTTCATGTGTTTATTGACTGTTTGTAGTTCATCTTTTGAGAACTGTCCATTTATTTCATTAGCCCATTTATTAAATGAGTTGTTTGATTTCTTGGTTTTTAGTTTGGGAAGTTATTGTATATTCGAGATGTTAATCATCTGTCAAATGAGTAATCAGGTTCCTCCCTTTCTGAAAGCTGTCTTTTCTCTCAGCTGTTTCATTTTCTGTGCTGAAGCTTTTAAGTTTCATGCAATCCTGTTTGTCCATTCTTGCTATTATTTCCTGAGCACTTGGAGTCCTTTTCGGAATGTCCTTCCCTGTGCCTGTATCTTGAAATGGTTTCTTTATATTTTCCTCCATCAGGTTCAGGGTTTCAGGTCCTGTAGTAAGAGTTTGATTCATTTGGAAATAAATTTTTGTACAGGATAAGATAAAGGATCTAGTTTTATTCTACATATGGATATCTAGTTTTCCTAGCACCATTTGTCTAAGATACTATCTTTGCTCCAATGAGCATTTTGGCATCTTTGTCAAAAATCAGATGACTATAGCCGCATGGATTTGTATGTGGGTACTCTGTTTTGTCCCATTGAGTCCATTTCTGTGCAAGAGTTACACTGTTTTTATTACTATGGCTTTCTAGTATAACTTAAAATCAAAGATAGAGCTAACTTCAGAACTGTTCTTTTTGCTTGGGATTCTTTGACTATTATGTTTCCATATGAGTTTTGAAATTATTTTTCTGCTTGTGTGAAGAATGTTTTTTGGTGGGGACTACATTGAATCTATAGTTGATTTTGGTAATATAGCTATTTTTACAATAGTCTACCAAATCCCTGAACATGGAGAATTCTCTCCATCTTCTAGTGTCATCTTCAGTTTCTTTGTTGTTTTAAAATTTTCACTTCCTTGGTTAGGTTTATTCCAAGGGTTTGGGTGGTGGTGGTTGTTGTTTTAAGGCCCTTGTGAACATGTACACACTATCTTAATGTAGTTACAATGCCACTCAGTGCCACTCAGTGAAACAGCAAAACAAGAAAGAGCTGGCAAAAAGAGAAGAGCCAAGTAATGACATGTCTTGAAAGCCAGAACTGCTAGTGTTGAAGGACTGCCAAAAAGTGAGAGAGTTGTTCAGTCATTAGTATCTCCAAGAGCAAAGATGTAGTCGGGCATGATAGCATACATCTGTGATCCCTGACTTGGGACTCTGGGGCAGGAAGTTCAAGGCTAGCAAGACCCTGCCTCAGAAAGCAAAGCAAAACAAAAAGTATGTGTGTGGGGGCGTGAGCAGTTGGTGGCTTATTGTGAAAGCAAGATTAAAAAAGAAAAAATGGTGCTTTGTAAAGATCCTTAAGGCTGGAGCACCTCTATACACCTAGGAGGCAGAACAGTGGAAGAGTCACAGCATCAAGGGACAGAGACAGGTGATGCTCACTCTCTCAGGAGTGATTTTCAAATCATGGAGGAAAGACAGTCTCTTCAACAAATGATGCTAGGAAAACTAGATATCTATGTAGAAGAATAAAACCAGATCCCTGTATCTCTGTCAAAATCAGGAACGTAAGTCATGGATTGCCTGGGGCAAAGGGGAGTGAGGAACATTTCCTCCTATAGGGAAGGAGGGAAGGAGGGAGGAAAGATGACAGGTGCTGGCTTTATCTGCCATCTGCATTCACTGAGTGCCCAGCAGTATGAAAGGTAGAGATATATGGAGAACAGAAGAGTAAGGTACCTGCTATAATCTGGTGAGGGTTTTGGACAAGGACGTGAATGAGAATACTTGAGACTGAGCAAGAAGTACTATCGGGCATTACCGTGGGTACGAGTGGAGGTGTGTGAGAGCAGGTCAGGAACTCTGGCTTTCTTCCTGGAAGTGGGGAGCAACAAGAAAGTCTCCTGAACAAGTTAGACTTGTGTGGTGGTGAGCATGTTCCAGAAGAGCATGTGATATTCGAGTGGGGAAAGCAGGTCGGAGCAGAGGTGATAGGATGTCACCGAGGGTGAGACTGGACAGGGGACAGCACTGGCTTATGCGGGTCACCCTTTATTCTCAAAGCATAAGAGAAAACACTGCAGAGATTCTTCTTCCCCTTCATATTGAAGGAACGCCATTATGAAGAAATCACTAAGTGGCAGCTAGAGACAGAATATGGCATCTTGTCAGACCTCAGCACTAAGAGTGAGGGGCATCATGGGGTGAATAGCCCCTGTGGGGAGCAAGCTACCCCAGCCAGTTAGCATGAAATGATCTGCAAAGCTTGCATGTCCAGGGCAGAAATGAAGCAGGTGGCTGCGTTTCCCACAGGTGGTGCAGCAGATGGGTGAGGAATGATAGAAAGTGGCTTCCTTGAATGACTTATTGAAGGTGGACCTTGATGTTTAGCCAGAGTGGAGATTATGGAGCCAGAAAGGGAACCAAACCAGAGGGCTAAGGGTGGGGCTGTAAAGCTCCTGGCAGCAATGAGGGGAGGAACAGGGACTGTGAGGAGTGTGAGACAACTGAACAAAGGAGTAGCCAGAGGCTAAATAGGAGAGTGACTGGAGGAGGTACAGAAGCTGACACAGGAGCCACTGGCTGAGCCTCAGGCTGGAAGAGGGCTGGCTGCAGCTACTCTAGCCGTCCAGGCATCTCAGTTTTCTTAACTATACCACGGATCGTCCAGGCATCTCAGTTTTCTTAACTATACCACAGATCGTCTCTTAAGCTCTTCATGTGGCTTGGTCTTCTACGTGGAAAAGAATAAGAATACCTTCCTCTTTTCTATAGCTTGCTGAGGAGTCAAATGAACAAAAACCTAAAAATGGAGGCATTCAACTCTTCCCATTATCTAGAGTCCTTTCTTGCAAAGCACAGCTGCTGATATACAGATACTCATTAAATGTACATGTTGACTAGCTTCTAGGAATAGCTATGGTGTCTTATGGCCAGTTGTCTCATGGGAAAATACTTGTGTAAATGCAGAATTTATTTCATTGCTTGGCTCCATAATTTCTTTAAATTTTTTACTTTTTTTCATATTTTATTTTTATTTTATTTTATGTGTATGAGTGTATTGCCTGCATACATGGAAGTGCACCTGTGTCATGAAGTGTCCTTGAAGGTCAGAAGAGGGCATTGGATCTCCTAGAACTGGAGTTTGGGATGGTTGTTAGTCACCATGTGGATGCTGGGATTTGAACCATGGCCAGTGCTCTTAACTGCTGAGACATCTCTCTAGCCCAGATTTCTTTATCTTTAATAATGTGAATGTGGATGTGTTTGTGTGTGGTACGTACATGTGAACACAGAAGCCCACAGAGGCCAGATGTATCAGATCCCCCTGGAACTGGGGTTAACAGGGCAGTTGGGTCCTCTGCAAAGAGCAGTATGCACTCTTAACTGCTGAGCCATCTATCCAGCCCATTGGCTCCAGAATTTTGTTGGTTATCTTTTTGGTTGTCTTTCAGAGCAAGGTCCGAGGTCCCGTCAGCGGAAGCCCAGACAGCATGAATGCTTCTCGACTCAGTCACCCTGGCCAGCTAATGTCCCAACCTTCCAGTGCCTGTGACAGCTTACCTGAGTCAGCCAAGAAAAGGTAAGCTATACTTGACAGTGCCAAGTTCAAGGGCACATTGGGGAGACCATGGAATGGAAGTCCATGATTATTACCAATCACATCTATCTGGGGCACCTCCAGCTAGAGTGGCCAAGTTTGCTGTTTCCTTCCAAGGCCTCCTCTTGTCCTCCATTTACCCCTTCGTCTCTTTTCTTTATTTTTTACTTTATTTATACATGGGGTGAGGCTTAACCACTGCAGGCTATGAAAATCAGAGGCGAACTTGTAGGAGTCACTTCCGTTCTTCCAGCATGTCAGGCCTGAGGATCAAACTCAGGTTATCAGGCTTGGCAGCAAGTGCCTTCACCTGCATCTCACCAGCCCTTCTTTTCTCCTTCCTGACAGACCTATAACCCTTCCCTGGCAAGGCTTTCTGCTTCCCATTTGCTTCTCTCTTAACTTCCAGCCCAGTCTCTGTCTACCCAGAATGCAAATCTGGCCAAGTGGTTTAGCTAATAACTAACAGTGGGTTTCCTCTCCATTATAGATCATGTTTACACTTTTTTAGGCAGTTGTAAACACTTGAATGTAGCTCTTGGGTTAAGTAGACAGTAGACTGTCTATTACAAATGACTTGCTCTACTCTCCTGAAGTAGTAGCAGCAGCAGTAATGTAGGTCTCACTGGAGACCCCCTGAGTTGGGGGACGGTTGTCCAGCAGTCTCTTGGCTCTAGTCCTGTAGTCTCACCCCAATCTAAAGCAGTAGCAGCAGCAGAAATGCCAGAAGCACAAAGACTTGCCAGTCTCATTAGAGAAACACCAACTACCCCACGCCACCCCCACCCCCACCCCCAGATTTACTTTGTTTAGTGGTTTCTACCTACAGGGCACACTGCTTCCCTCTGCCTCGCATCCTTCAAAGACTTCACCACCCATGCACACACTAATGGCCCTCTTCTCAAAGTCTGTTTGTTTTGTTCAGCTCCACTGACATTCACATTTCTATATCCTTGGCCCCTGACATTACAGATAGTTAAAAGCAGCTCCTGTTGGCTTGTCTCCAAACATGGGAAGGAGATGGATGATGGCCTATGGTGGATGTAGAGAGGTTTCATCTGATTGGTAATGGGTACAGGGTTTATTTGGAGAGTGATAATAATTTTTTGTGATTATACATAGTAATGACTGTACAACTCTGTACATATGCTAAAGTTGTTACAATGTGAACAGGCAAACTATAACATATAAATTATGTAGCAATAAAGCTATTTTGAAAACTCCTAATTCTTGATCCTGGGGAGTGTATATATAGCATGTTTGTTATTTGATTACACATTACTATTGAGTTTTAATTATCTCTCCCACATCTGGAGGACAATAGCCAAGTCACATACCTCTCCTTACCTTCTTTAGCTGGCACTGAGCCTGGAGTCTATCTAGGAGCCCTGGGGATGTGCTCTTGGTTCTTTTCCACACAGAATGCCACATTTTGAGGGAGAAGGGAATTCTAGAACTCTGTCATCCTTGGAAGTTTTCTTCCAGTGATATCCTCAGAGCTCAGAAAAGTCAGCCTGTGAGCACAGTGGAACTCTTATCTCTCTGTATCATGTAGGTAGTTGATGATAGAAAACAGGCATTTCTTGTTATAGGAAAAAGAGTGATCAGTCTAGAGGAAGGACTTTGCACTTCAGTAAATCTGAAGGAACTATGGAAGCTTGCAAATTGCTTGATTTGGGCTTTTTTTTTCTTTCCATTTCAAAATGGAATGGGGCTATAGCTTGGTGATGGAGCACTTGCCTGGGGTGTGCAGGGCCCTGCCCTGGGTTCAATTCCCAGCAGAAAAAAAAACAAAAAAATAATGAGGGAACATCTTTAGATTTGGAGAGAAATTTAGTTACCTTGTAAGTCAAAAAGAAGTCTTTGGACTGGAGAGATGACTCAACAGTTAAGAGCACTGGCTGCTCTTACAGAGGACCCGGATTCAGCTCCCAGCACTCACAGGCATCTTACAACTATCTGTAACTCTTAGTTCCAGGGGCTCTGACAGCCTTTTCTGGCCTCTGTAGACACCAGGCATGCACATGGTACCCAGATACATGTGCAGACAAAACACTTATACCCATAAAATATAAATAAATAAATGAATGAATCAATCTCTTTTGCCTTTCTGTTATGTGGAGATCTATTTACTGTCCCATATTTTCAGCAATAATGTTTCTCAGTGATTTGAGCATCTGAACACTAATGAACTAGACCAATGAAATCACTAGTCAGTGATGTGGTAGTTTAAGACATTCAAAGTAGTTGCTACTTTGTTTCAAACAGTATAGAGAGGGCTCTAGCATATGTTAACACAGTGTTATTAGCCCTGCTAAGACACTGATGACCTGTTTCTAGTAATTCGATCATTGTCTTTAGTGAAGAACTGCTGGCTGAAGCACACACTCTCTGCGCCCGGCTAGAAACTGCCCTGCAAGACACCGTGAAGGAGCAGGACCAGAGCTTTACGGTAACAGCCTGCAGGGACCCAAGCTATTCCCTGCTCTCTTTCTGTAGTAAGAGAAAAGAAAGAAGAAACACAGTTCGGTGTTAGCCGTGCTTTCAGTGAATGTCTTTTATTTTCTAGTACACTTTAAAATTGTTCATAATCCTTGCATGCTTACAGGTATGTAATGTGCATTGGCTCCATCTTTAGGAGACTTAATCTCGATGAGGAGGCCACGGCATCCCCAGAAGCCCTTCCCCATCCTGGGGACCACTGCAGAGCATCTCTATATGTTGGGCACTGTGCTGGACTATGATGACAAAAGAAGAACCTGTTATGGCCTGTAGCTCAGGGATTCATAGTGCAGTCATAGACAGTACTAGTGTCAGGGAACTGACCTGAAGAAAAACCAGCCAAGGTACAGGCACTTTAAAACAAATTAGCATTACTACAGATGTCTAAATGGCCTTTGCCTGCTAATGCAATCTTCTGCTACCCTTTCCCTGCTAAGTTTGGGGAAGAATCAAGGGAGACCCCACTGCCAGTTGCAGTCTCTAATCTAGTCACAGGTCCTCCAACAGTGGGCCCTCCATAGTTCCATTTCTTCCGTCTCACTATTTGATTGCACTTTAGCCAGAGAAAACAGAAACCTCATCTGGTAGACCTGGAAATGGATAGCTGAAATTAGCTCAGAACCATCTACCTGCAGGGATTGTATAAATAAGTGCCCTATGCCAAAAATAACTTTCTAGGTTCCACAGGAATAGGATTCCAGGAATTAAGCTAGTCCAAAGAAAATACCTGCACAGTTTTGAATATATAGCTCACTTGGCTCAAAAGTTCCTTATAGTAGCAAGACTGTTGCTGATAACAGGTTTAAACTTACTTAAATTGTGTTGGTTGCTTTATGAAGAGAAAAGATGTCCTGAAATTTACAGTGGCTGCTGAGTATTTAATGTTCCTGTTGACTTTCAGGCTCTAGACTGGAGCTGGTTACAAATGGCAGATGAAGAACAAGGTGGCCTGGAGCAGGCCTGTGACTGAGGCTTCCCCTTCTTGGTCCATGGCTCTCCTATGGTGGCTCTGGCTGTGGTGATATCTGAGCACCTCCAGCATACAGTTGAAATCTCAGTCCCCCAGTAACTGTGATGTTCACTCTGGATCAGAGGTGTAACCTCAGCCAGCTCTGCTGGTCTTGTCTACACACTGAAAGTCCTCTACCACAGAGGCCCAGTAAATGCTAGTTATGGGCATTCATGGAAACAAAGCTTTGAAGCTGCTTCCTCTGTTATAAAAAAAAGTGTTCAGAGTACATTTTGTCACACAGACCACAAGACAAATGTCTACCTTGAGTGTTTCAGGGCAACTGCCAGCCTATCTCTTCTGGACCTCCAGGGGGAGCCTGACCACCCACCTCCTTCACCATACAACTAGGGCTTCAACTGGACCGAGCATCTCTTGGACATTTAAGCATGTGTTTGGCAGCCCTGTCCTTTCTTCCTTTTTTTCATTTCACTGCTGCTAAATATTATTTTTACCTAACATGCTGGATGTTGTGACAGATCCTTTTTCTGCGTTATGATGCACAGTTCCCTGCTGTCAGTCCTTTCGGCCACAGAGGGACTCAAAAAGCCAGGATAGAAGAGCATCTCCCTTCTTTTGAATCCCAAAGATTACCTGAGAATCAGTTGCCATGGAGAAAAGATAAAGGACATGTGTCAACTGCTGCCGTACTGACCACTCTGCCACTCCTCCGTCCCTGTCTGATACATCTGTATATGTGCTGGTGGGATGGAATGTTGCTGCCTTTCACATCAGCTAGCAGTATTATTAAACTGGTTTATTTTACAAATAGCTTGAATATTTTGTAACATGACTCAGATATGTATTCATTCTAGACTCCAAAGGCTATTACAATATACCAGGGCTAGAAGAACTAAGTTCAAAATCCAGCATAATGGGAAATTTTGTAAAATTGGAATAGTGCCTGGATCATGAACCGTTTCAGCATCACAGAAAGTGTGTGTGTGTGTGCATGTGTGTATGTGTGTGTGTGTGTGCATGTGTGTATGTGTGTGTGTGTGTGCATGTGTGTATGTGTGTGTGTGTGTGCATGTGTGTATGTGTGTGTGTGTGTGCATGTGTGTATGTGTGTGTGTGTGTGCATGTGTGTATGTGTGTGTGTGTGTGCATGTGTGTATGTGTGTGTGTGTGTGCATGTGTGTATGTGTGTGTGTGTGTGCATGTGTGTATGTGTGTGTGTGTGTGCATGTGTGTATGTGTGTGTGTGTGTGTATGTATGTAAAATCAAGAACAAAACAGGCTTGAGTTCTTACAAACAGGTATACTTGGTTAGAGAAGAAAGTTAGAATGAAGAGATGTCAAAGTGACTGCTGCAGAGACGGGCTCAAATATCCCTGGTGAGGTGAGTTCAGGAAATATTTCAAGTTTTAATTGCTTCTTAGAGATTCATACTGTACACTGGCAAACTATCTGAAAACTCATAATAAAGATGCTTGCTTACCCTTAATATAAATTCATCACTGACCAATGTCATTTCACTATAGAACTCTACCCCTCACGTATGCTTATCATTTATTAACATCTAGAAGATCTAGAGTCTTAAGTAAGCATTACTTTTAGAAACCCTGGAAACGGCATAGTGGGAAATAAGACCAGAAGGATTGGGTTCAGATTAGAAAGGGAATAAATGCTGGGCTAAGAGGATTGTAGTTTAATAGGAAGTTGGGATTCATAGAAGAACTTTCTGCAAGAAAATGACATAATCAGAAGCATGCATTTGAAAGTTTGACCATTCTAATTGATGACAAAGTGAAATTCAGGGGTTATTTTCTGCTGCCGAAAAGATGAAATAGATATTTTTTTCTCTGTGTTCAATTAAAAAAAATTCCTTGAACATTATATATAAATAAGGTAGAAATAGCAGGCTGTCCAGAGATCTGGGAATCTGAGGACTGACACTCCTTGGGTTTCTTTCTGTTTCACATAACTCAGATTGGGTGCCTGAGAAACCAACTAGTGGATGCTCACCAAAAAAGCCCTAAGAAAAACATTTCTCTAACTGTACCATATTACTACAAATTGCATAACTCAAACAATGGAAATATATTTCACAGCTCTAAGGCCAGAAATTGATATCTAGATGTTAACAGTACTATATTTACTCTAACAGTTCAAGGAGAGGTCTGTTCCTTGCCTCTCTCGTTTCTGGTGGCTCCAGAACTTGTGGCTGCATTTGTACTCCAAGGATCATTGGATTACTTACTTTTCTTGTGGATATGAAATAATGCTTGTTATAAATAAAGGAGGAAGGATTTACTTGGGCTCAGAATTTGGGACTATATCATCATGACAATGGAACAGCTCCAGGATGGGACATGGGGTAGGGGGTAGCTAAGTCTTATTAGCGTTAAGAAGCAGAGAATTCAAACCAGAAATGGAAGCTGGCCTGGAATGCTCAAACTCCACCTATGTTTGCTAGGCACCATGTCCCAAAATTTCCACTACCTCCCAAAACAGCACATTTCACATTCAAACCATGACATTTGGTTAAGGGCCAATCTGGAAAAATCTAAGGTAAGTACCTCCTCTTAAAGATGCTAGTGCAATCACACATGTTGCTGTATGTTCTAGAAATTAGGATGTGGGCAGATGCGGGCTACCATCAATCCAGTCCACCCTTTGACTCCAACAAAATTTTTGTCCTACATGGAGCATCTACTTCATCCCACCATCCCCCAAAGTCCAACTCAAGATGAAAATCTCATCTTAATATCAACTCAAAATTCCTAAAGATCATTGTCTTGGTCATGTGTGCAAAATTTTCCCCATCTGAGGTCCTAGGAAACAAGTCATCTTCTAAAGTACTATGGTGGAGCAGACATATGGTAGGTGATCCCACTCCAAAACAGAAAATTGGGAGAAGAAAATCACTGGTCCCACAAAACGTGGAATCCAGTAGAGCAAATTCCAATAGGCAGCAACTTCTGTAAATAATTGTCTGGCTTGGCGCTCTGCTTACCAAGGCCACAGGAGACTTTTGCGTGTACTCAAAGCAAACCATCCTCTGCCTGTGTGTTGCATAGGACTATCCTCCCACAGACAGACAAGACAATGGACAGACACCATCTTCCCAAACTTGGTTATGCCCTCTTGATTGAGATTATCACAGCTAAGACTGTTGACTGTTAGGCACTACAAGGAAAGAGGGGCAGGAAAGTCAGCCACACCTCCCAACTAATCAGTCAGCCCTAGTTGCACATGGTCTGGGGTAAGGGACTTTTTTTTTTTTCCTTTTATAGACTAAGGAAGCCAACAGGAGGTTCTCATCATTTTCTGCAACCACAGGGAAACCACCATCCATGCTTGGATAGACTTTCCAGTGTCGGGGCTGGAGAGATGGCTCAGCAGTTAAGAGCACTGACTGCTCTTGCAGAGGACCCGGGTTCGATTCCCAGCACTCACGTGGCAGCTACGAACAGTCCTTAACTCCAGTTCCAGAGGAATC